TAAGGACCTTAAAAATAAGGTGGTGGGAAGTATTTTATTTGACTCCTGGATTCTGCAGTTTGGAGGGGCTCCACTTTTTCAATTTTTTTCTGCAATCACAGAAGATAGAAATTTTTTTTAGTATCTTAAGTAAAATTGAGATCTTGACCATTAAAAACACTGTCATGAGACTCAAGTGAAGTAGAACCAGTCACATTCACGACAAGGAGCTCTTCTTCAGACCATTGGAAACACCCAAGAGCCCTGTTAGAGGAGAGGAGAGGAGTCCACATGAGCTGTGGTCTGGCTGGGGAACTGGCACACAACTGCTGTGAGCTATACTTAGTGGTTAGTTAGAAGCCTGCTTGGGAAGCTAGCTTAAAGAACTGCTTAACATAACATGCAACCTAACAAAAAGGGAATTAATTTATGGGAGAACGATTGAAAGAGAGCTATACATCTGCCGTCAGGAAATATCCACTTCCCAGTCAGATTCCTAAAACTTGCTATACGGTTATGTAGTTCAGCTTAGTGGTGGAGCTGAGGAGCAGAATCTTCTCAAAGTAGTCTGTCTGAAAATGTTTGGCCTTGTACAGCCTCTGCTGACTTGTGGCACACTTGTTGATACTCAGGTGGTCTCCTTGGATGGAGATGTATATACGTAGAGAAGTTTTTCTACATGGATGAGGGTGTATGTTCTTGCACATCCACAAGTTGAAGGCAAACATGCATCCTTCCCAAGCAGGATTTAGTGTTCCGAAATAATACAGCATCACAATGTGAGTGGAATTATTTCAGCTGAAAAAGAAACTTAAATCAAGCCCCTAAGTTAAAGCTATGCAGACGAAGCCATTTTTAGTAGAGTGACCTTACTCAAAGGAAGCAGGACTGACAACATTTTACAAACCAGAAATCTTTTATTTGGAATTTTTTTCTTGGATTGATTTTTGTTTTGGAACTTCTCTAAACACTATTTAACTTCAAAAACATTCTGACCAAGCTCTACCATATGACATGCTATAAACACAGACTCTACAAGAGCTGCTTTCATTCTTTTCTACAAGTCAGGCACTTTTATTTAGCGGGGCAGGCTTACAGATGTTTCAGTGGATCTAATGCTAGGAAGGAAAGAATCTGATGATGTGAGCCACGGTAAGTTCTCAATAGCCTTTCTGTAGGCACCGTTAGTACATAAAGCCCTGTGTTGTCACATGGCATTGAGGCATTGCTGTGCTAACAGAAAGTAAATTGGTGTATATACTGCACAAAACAGATAAATCTGTGGGTGCAATAAATAAATAAATAAATAAAAAGCAGTAACTAATCACAGAGCAGAATTAAAACAGAGATCTATTTTCCGTAAAGCCCCCAAGGAATTTTTACAGTCTCTTCAGTATGTGTGGCGTCAAACAGGGCAGCTCTGTTGTGGTTAGCAAACATTAGTGTGTCCTCATCATAATCCCATCCGTGCCTGTAGTAAAAGGGGCCGTATGCCAAAAATCTTCCATATAAGGCCACTGTCAACCCTGCAGATGTGGGTTTCTTCCCTTGTGAGCTGCTCACACCATCTTAACTTGTTCATCATGCAGCGGGAACAGAAATCCATCTGTCTTTACTGTCCCAAGGTGCAATCTCACCTCCACAAGCTTAAGAGTGAATGGGAAAGCTCAGTAAGCCCCCTTTTCCCTTGGAAGGCTTTTCTCACATGAGGACTCCTGCTTGCTGCCTGGCCTCTTTTTTCCTATGTGGCATGCATGAGAGCACTGTCATTCCCCCAGCCACAAAGCAGGGATAAATAGTCAAAGAACATCCTCTGCCTTTGCTTGAAACAGAGCTTTTTACAGAAGCAAATTTCTAAAAAAATAGGCCCCATCGAAAACCTTACATTTCCTCTCCCTGTAAAATATTTTCAAAGTAAATGCCTATCAATACATTTGCTCTATCCATAGGATAAAGGTAGGTGGTTTTACTTTTTTTTTTTTTTTTGTGGTATTACAGAGTATTCATCATGAATCCAATGTGACTACACTCATATTTTTAGTGAGGTGAAAAACTGTGACTGAGTATAGTTTTCTGCAGTCTTTATTTCCATTATCTAGGAAGCTTTTAAGCTAAAGCTATTTTGATTCTCATCCTTCTCTCAAACCATTTGGGCGACCTTCATCATACCTCTTTTCACACCACTCCCTTTTTGGGGGAATGTATAGTAATCACACAAAAGATGTTCCAGTGGCCAGTTTTTCAGTGTAGCAGAAATGCTGAGACACAGCCTGAAGCAGTGATTGAGCACCTGGTGGCAAGGCAGGGCCAACTGAGGGGAGCTCAGGTGCAAGCAATGTACCTGAGTGACTGGAAGGGGTGGAGCCAGGATCCACCCCTTCCCTGATCTCATTTAAGGATTGGTAGAGGAGGTGAGAGTATCTTACTGGAGATACCTGCATACCTGTGATCTTTTGAAGGTAAAGCAAGCTTTTTTTTTTTTTTTTTTTTGTTTTCGTACCCACAGCTGCTACATTTGGGCTTGTTCTTGTTTGCTGTAGCCAAAGACTTTGCTACCCTGGTACTGTTGCTGTACTTTCCATTGCATTACAGTGTTACACTGTAACAGTCACAGGTCTGTAATTAAAAGTAGGGTTACTTCTTAGGTCTGTTTCCAAGTGCTGAATTCTCAAAAGCTGGTCATGCATTAGATGCTACTGGATACAAAACTCCTTCAAAATTCTGAACAGCTAGCTCTGCTCTGAAAGAAACAACTCCTGCCAACTTTCTTACACTACATGAATAACAGCATTAGTTTCTATATTTCTGAAGTTCTAAAATACTGCTGTGAAAATGGAGTTGTAGGATACTTCAACAAGCAGTAATTGGGCTATAATTTCTACTGCAGCTAATACAGCACCAAATTTAACACTGAAAGATGTTTGGTTTATTTTAAGGAGTTATTTTGTCATAGCAGTGACAAATTTTCACCTGCTCTGATTCCATTCTCTTGTGTGGATGAACGCGCTTTGGTCTTTAACAGTGTCTATACAGTCACCAAAGCTTTCTAATGCTGGCATGTCTCAAGACTGAAGCAATTTCACTTAACTGACAGCTAATGAACTCTTCAATATCATGAAATAGGAAAGGAAAGCCACCTTTTGCTAGTGCTTGTATGTTTTAATAAAAGAAAAGCTTTTTTTAATCTACAGCTAGTTACATAAACACAACATAAGATAAATGGCATAATTTCACAACATCTAGGTTGTGTAGAGTGTGTTCTCTAAACAGATCTATTTAAAAAATAGAAGTGAAGAAAGGACTTGATCTGGAATAACTGATATCACTGATTCCTTTTTAACAGCAGTGATTGTTTCCAGGAAAGTTTCGAAGTTTTTTGTTTGCGTTAGTGGAAAGATCATGAAGAAAAAAATGATCTTACTGAATAGCGTATCCCAGGGATGAAAAAAACTTGATAGAACACAAAATTAATTAAACTTTCATACTGCCACTTAATAAGGCCTCATACAAGCTAATATAAAATATTTGATGACTATATATACCATATACGACATACCATATATGTTTTGCATAGTTGTTCTTTTTCAAGCTCCTTCAGCAACTGAAATCTCATCAATTAAATTCTGTAGGATGGTTTAAAAACCCAGAAAGAGTATTTTCTTAGAGATTGCTTTATCTATCATGTAAAGTGTTATTGATTTATGCAGTAAATGTCTTGTTCTATATATTATTTCCTTCTTCTGAAGAATTTTTTTTTTTTTTTTTTTTTGAAAGGCTATGTGCTTAGGCCTGTTTTAGATGGCCTCATTAGTATTCAGTACTTTCAACTCCATCTGAATTAAAGGAGAACTAGGTCAAATTTGCTGTTACAACAGCTCCACATGCCATGTGATGCACAGAAGTAAAATCCACAATTTAAGTATGTTTGATATGGTAAAGTTCATGGTTTTGTATGGAATAGCTGGTGTGGGTTTTTTGGGTTTTTTTGTGGTTTTTGGTCTTTGTTTCTGGTGCTACATGTAAAGGCTGCTGGTGTTCATTGGCATTAATCACATTGCTTGTGCTTTGAAGACCCAGGTAACAGAAAAATCAATACAAATAAAACCATACTTCCAACCACCACTTAGCTGCTGTTGCAGTGTTTCTGAGGAGTACAGGGGAAACGATTTAAAGTGTTTTTAGCATACTTTAAACAGTTTTATTGGTATTACTGTTTTGCCTTTCTGCAACTGTAAAATCAGTTTACCTCAAGTTGAAAATGTCAGCCAACTGGAAGAAAATAGATCTGTGCCTAATGAAAAATCTTAAATTTTTGCTGTTGAGCCCCTGCTTGAGTTTAACCTTGTCCACCAAATGTAGGTACATCTATCCTCTGTACCAGCGTACTCTGGGCAGACTTAAAAGCGCAAGGCAGACGCTGATCTGGACACTGTGCTAACAGGGCATCTCCATGCTGTGCCATAGACATACTGTTTCAGGAATATTTGAAATTGCTAGTTCTACACCTAGAAATGTGAAAGCATCAGAAGGGAGCTGTACTTAAGCCAATTGGTTTTGTTGAGAGCTGCTAATGTAGCCATAGCCCTTCAGGGCTATGAGCTTAGTGCTGACCCTCGCAATCTGGCTGAGGCGATAGGAGTAGAGAAAGGAAAAATCCCCAAAAATATGTTTTCATCATAAAAGTTTCTTTTCAAAGCTTAGGGAGACAAATTAGTCAAACACTCTGGATCTAACAGAACATACTGAGGAAGGATTTCATCCCTTTTTAAAAGCTGCAACAGCTTTTCCCCAGCTTAGAAGATGGGTGCTGGAGGCACTCTTGTAGAGGGAAGAGGCCTTCACGAAGAGAAAATTCTTTTGTGTTCTGTAGGAGGTGCGTGTTCACACAACAGTCCATATCTGTGGATGCTCTTGCTTTTAACCCAGGCATATAATTCTGGCTCTGTTAAAAATGAAAACTTTGTAAATGGGAACTTGAAGTAGCTGGGACCGATGGAGTTTCTTGTTATTTTCTCACTCAGACTCATCACTTCTTCTGCCATCACTTCTCACGTTAATTCCAGTGACTACAGTACTACAATGAAAATGGAACATAGGAGTTTTCGTAAGCATGTAAGCAAAAATATCTTAAAATCTCTGAAAAATAAAAGTAGGATTTAGGTACCCTTTTTTGCAGTTCTGAGTATAATGTTTCACTGCTTATTTTGGGCAGAAACTGTTCCCATATTTCTTTAGATCTGGGAGTCCCAGATCATGAGTGTGACTAATCTTTTATCTCTGTTTAAAATGGTTTATCAGCTACTGGATCTACCACTTCTTCAGTCACCTTGTCAAGGACCAGTTACTGATCCCACATCACAACAGTGGAATTTATGAGAGGAGCAAAGAAAATAACAAATCCACATCTTGAGGGAAAGAAGACATTTGTCTGAAAGTCTGGCTTCATTTTTGAGATGGCAGCTGCTTGGAACTGTTGACAGATTGAGAGTGTTGGAAATTGTCCTGGGCCAGATGGATTAGTGATCTAAGTTCAGGTGAAGTGGTCAAAGATGCTTTATAAATGCCATTTCCAACGTAGCTATCACCACTACATTGTGGTATAGGTAACAGAGTTATTTTAGAACATGAA